AAAAAAAAAAAAAGAATGTTCTCTTCCATGACCCAGTGCCACTATCCACCCAGTGCCTGGGCACTAGTGGTCCCTCGCTGTGTTCTGATGGCCACCTTATAGTTACCTTCCCATGATGCCCAATGCCTTTGCCAAACTTTCATTCATGCCAGCATCTCATCAAGAACTTTTGTTGTACTTGGATGTTGGGCCCCTTAAATCTCTTTTCATCTAGAACAATCTGTCTCTCTCACCTCCTTGTACAAGTGGCTTCCTTATGGTGTCTAACTGGGTACTCTGTCCCTGAAATCCTCTGGACTTAGACATTGGGTCCAAAGGCTGCATTAGAAGCCAGTCAGAAGGCTTTGGCATATCTTTCCCAGCACATCGGAAGCAGATCTGTTCTCTTATTAGGTCAGGTTACTCCCTTGTGACCAGCAAATAACCAGGGATAACTGTTTGATATGTGATGTACCTTTCTCCCTCAATCTTGCACCTAATGGTTCTAGCATCCATTCCACCTTAAGAAATTCCTTTTTCTGATTAAAAGCTTCTATGGCTCATGCTGTAATCCCAGCATTATGGGAGGCCAAGGCATATGGATTGCTTAAGTTCAGGAGTTGTTCGAGACCAGCCTGAGCAAGAGTGAGATCCTGTCTCTACTAAAAAAAAAAAAAAAAAAGGAAAAATTAGCTGGGTATGGTGGTGAACACTTATAGTCCCAGCTACTCAGGAGTCTGAGGCAAGAGGATCTCTTGAGCCCAAGAATTTGAGGTTGCTGTGAGCTATGATGCCATGGCACTCTACCAAGATCAACAGAGAGAGACTCTATCTCCATCAATCAGTTAATAAATAAAATTTAAAAAAATAAAATCAACTTCTTCATCAGAAACACCAGTTTATTTTTGACTAATGTTGATTAACATTTCATCATAGATGAAAAGGGACTTTGGAACAATTTAAATGCCAGGGGAATACAATGGCTGTCCTTCTCTGTCCATATTCTGAGGACTCTATCCACTTTCCCTCTATCCTGTGGCATTACTGTTGGCACAGTCAAGTGGTAGCCACCCATCAGAACATCAATCAAAGCTCTCTGAGTGCACTTCTCCTACCAGCTGCTGTCTGGTGTCCCTGCTCCTTGCTGGACTTCCATATTGCTCATCTCTAGTTGGATAGAAATGGTATTCTTAGAGCAATCAGTCCTAGTCCATTTTGTGTTGCTGAAATGCCTGAGGCTGGGCAATTTACAAAGAGAAAAGGTCTATTTGGTTCATGATTTTGCTGGCTTGAAAGTTCAAGATTGGGTATCAGGTGAGGGCCTCAGGCTGCCTCCACTCTTGGCAGAAGGTAGCTGATGTGTGCAGATCACATGATGAGAGACAGCAGGGAGGTGCCAATCTCTTTCAAATGACTGGTTCTAGGGGAAGGACTAATATAGAACCACTCCTTACCCTAAGGAGGGCACCAAGCCATTTTTGAGGGATCTGACCATGACTCAAGACACCTCCCAGAAAGCCTGAACTCCAGCATTGGGGGTCACATGTCCACATGAGATTCAGAAGGGACAGCATCCCAACCATAACACTAACTGTCTTCTGACATTGAGAATTAATGGGCTCAGCGCCTGTGGCTCAAGTGGCTAAGGCACCAGCCACATACACCTAAGATGGCAGGTTCGAATCCAGTCCGGGCCCGTCAAACAACAATGATGGCTGCAACCAAAAAATAGCCAGGTGTTGTGGCGGGTGCCTGTGGTCCCAGCTACTTGGGAGGTGGAGGCAGGGGACTCGCTCGAGCCCAGGAGTTGGAGATTGCTATGAGCTATGATGCCACGGCACTCTACCCAAGGGGGACAGCTTGAGGCTCTGTCTCAAAAAAAAAGAGAGAATTAATGTGGAGAAATCCTGATGCCAAAGTGACTGCCTTGTCAATGCCATGCTCCCTGTGTCCTCAACATGAGATGGGGCTCCATGTCCTCATAGGGGCCTTGCCTTTGTCCCCTTAGTTTTCAGCACTGTGAGCAGCAGGCTCAGGCCTTTGTTGGGCCCCTTTATTAGCCACTTGCAACCTCCTGGTCTGGCCTGACTGCATCTCTGCATGGATCCCCTGCTGCTCTTCCTCTTTGCCTTTATAGTACGTCTCACTTCCTAGGTGGAGATTGCATGTGTGTTCTGGAATTATCTATAAGAACCCCTGCCTGAGAGGAAAATGGGCCAGCAGTGGAGCTTCCAGGAATGGCTGGGATCAGGGGTGCTGGCCAGATGAGAAGGAAGAGAGCTGAGAAGAGAAGGAAAAGGAAAGAAGAAAGGAAAGAAGGAACAGGCTGCCTTGAAAGCCTGGCTGGGCAAGCCCCAGCATGAGGAGTGGGCCTGGCTGCCCCAGCTTGAGGTCCTCTGCTTGGGAAGAAACAGGCACGGGAGCTCAGTTGGGGAACCTGTTATGAGCTGCTTTGTGTCTCCCCAAAGATATGCTGATGTCCCATCTACTGTACCCATGAAGGTAACCTTATCTGGAAGTAGGGTCTTTGCAGTTGTAACCAAGATAAGATGAGGTCATACTAAAGTATGATGGGCCCTGATCCTTCTAAGACACACAGAGGGAAGAAGGCCATGTGCAGATGGAGGCACAGACTGGGATACTGACAGGAAGGGAAATCCGGAAGAGGCAAAGAGGGAACCTTCTGAGGCAGCGGGGCCCCACCAGCACCTGGATCTTGGGGTCCTGGTGAAAGTGTTCTTGGAGCCTCTGATCGGAGACGCAGGGAGAAGGAACTGCAGACGGGATGATTGATTTGAAGGGAGGTCGAGACTCACTCCTGTCAGCGACCTGGCCTAACTTGACTGATTATCTTATATACTTTCAAACATTCAGTAAGAATTTAACACAGATACAAAGAAGTGAAGTAACATTAGGAAGCTACCATTAAGATTACAATTCAGTGTGAAGGCTGAGGAACACATATACAATTGATTTTGTTTAGAGTAAAAACATAAAGGAGACTGACTGTTCTTGCTGGCCCAAACCGAAACTAGAGATTATAATGTTAATGAAGGAAGAAGACAGAGAACAGAACCCAACGCTTAAGGACATGTATTCAAACTCCCAGCTGCACCCCGCCCTGATTCTCCAGGATTTCTAAAGAGAGTTATTCTGCATATTCCTGCATATCTATAGGCAGGTGCAGAAGCTCCATCTTTGAAGAAATCTTTCTCAGAATCAATCTCCTGGGGGAGCACATTGAAGCAAACTGCCATGTCTGAGCATGGGGTGCTTATCTCTATATCCTGGCCTCCAGGACTGAGAGAGCATAAACACGTTTTGCTAGCCACCCAGGTTATGGTTCTTTGTTAGAGAAGCCCCAGAAAATCACACATACGTGTGACAGTCAGGCCCGCAGGGAAGCCATGAGGATGAGAAAGCCACAGGCTTTCCTAGAAAGGAAGCTGCATGTGGCTGCTGTGCCCCACAGGATGTCCAGGACACTGAGCCATAGGCCTCTTAGGAAAAGGGCCCTCCCATTCCCTCCTGCTCATCCACTCTCTCAGCAAGGCCCTTCCCTGCTCAGACCACCTGATGAGGAAAACTATACAAGCTTCCTTATCTCACATGAGTGATTTGCCCTTCCCTAGCTTCTCCACGGCCTGGTGATGGCAGCCATCCTCCTGACAGCGAGACCCAAGGTGAGTAGATGGGTCCCTGCCCCATTACCCCCATCAACCTCTGCACCCAGGGTGCAGGGCCACCCAAAGTATCATCCCCCTTTCCCCGAGGCCCCCAAACTAGGCTTCCTGCCTGTGTGCATAACTCTTTCCAGGAGCAAGTGCATTCCTGAGCCTCCCCAACCTCCCATGCCCCCTGGAGCTCTGTACCCCATGTTTTGTTGCTGACAGTTTGCCCTGGCACTGGCAGCATGAAGGCCCCTGTAGCTGTGGGAATGGCTCATTTCAGGTGCCAGTGTCTTTTGAGGATGTGTCTGTGTACTTCACAAAGTCAGAATGGAAGCTTCTGGACCTCAGACAGAGGATCCTCTACAAGCGGGTGATGCTAGAGAACTATAGCCATTTGGTGTCACTAGGTAAGTGACCCCTTCAACATACGCATACCCAGTCCCTCCTACTCTGTCTGTAGACTCAGTTTATTTCTGAGTTTCCTCATTGATTGCTTACATTGAGCCTAAGAATAAAAGCCCTTCTCCATCAGAGCAGTGATGCACTGCGGGCCAGCTGCATTTCAATAGAACTAACTATTTAGCTAAATATTATAGGTGGACACACAGGCCTGCAAATTTCAACAATGCCTCATCAGACTTACTTTGCTTATAAACTGATGTACTGACTAAATGTTTTTCTACAAAAGATGGGCACAGATTATACTGGAATATCTATATGCACTGTTTTAGACTTAATTCATTTTTTTCAGTAGTTGCATTTTACCTTCATTCCACTTTAGAGAACATAGCAGCATCTTTCCCTGCATCAAACATGGAAATCCGACATGAGGTCCAGGTGTGCACTTGGATTTCAAGCCTCAAGAAGTCCAAGAAGGAGCTGGGACAGCTTTGAGAAGGCTGCCCTCCCTTCCTTTGCCAGCACAGCCCTGCTATACAAAGGGTATCAGTTTTGCCAGTTATAGGGCAACACTGGATTCACAGGCTGGGCAAGTGGGAGCCAGTGACTAAGAGCAATGCAAGCAAGAGAGGCAGGCAAGAGACACAGCCAGGAATTGGCCCTTCCCTCCAGCCAGCCAGGGCAGCTGAGCAGGAGTACTCCTTGCTGCAGGTATCTTCCCAGCTGTACCATGACATGGAGCCCTGTTCCCCTTCTTCTAGACTCCACAGATTGTACCTCTGTGATCCAAACCCCACAGAGGAAGACTAGTTCCATCCCCTGAGTTCTTTCTGACCCTCACCAGGCAGATCTGGGATTCCCAGGGGAGTTCTGGGATCCTCAGCTGAATCTGATGGTAAAGCAGAGTGGGATCCCTGCTGCAGCCCTCTGTAACTCAGGATCTCCCCACAGATTCCCCATTCTTCACAAGCCTCCCTGCAGACCAAGTGACAATGTGGTTGTCCCTTTGGCTCAAGTTACCTACTTAAGAGCCCCTGTGCCCACCTGGCCCCTTTGATTCCTTAGAGGGACTCTGCCTTTTCCCTGGACCTTCTCAGCACTTTTTAGGGATTAATATCTTTAATGAATATATTAAGGCTGACCAGAGTTCAGGAGTGACCCTGGCCTTAGCTACAGTGGCTCTGACCTGCTTCATTTCCATGGACAGGATTTTCCTTCTCCAAGCCTCACCTGATTTCCCAGCTGGAACGAGGAGAGGGGCCCTGGGTAGCAGACAACCACAGAACAGGAGTGACCACCAGACTGCACACAGGTGAGTGGTGAGCACTAAGCAGGCTTGCTTGAGTCAAAAGGCAAGGGGCAGCAGCTTTCAGAGGAGGGTGATGCTGCCACTTTGGATGAGAGATTCCCTTTAGTGGCAGATGTCAACCTCCCAGAGAGTGCTGCAACAGGTATCACACCAGCTCTGCTGTTGCCAGTGTGTCCCCTCCGGGTCTCCCGGCTGCCTATGTAATGGCTCCTTACCCCAAGTGCTCACCTCCTGCTCCTCTCTCCTCCTTTGCCTTGGGGCTAGGGTGAAGAGGGCAAACCCTCAGTAGAGACCCAGGAAGGGCTGTTGCTGGTGACCCTGACTGGTACTGTCCTTCGCAGGTGACAGGATAAGGAGCCACACGTCAATTTCAAAGCAGACACACTCTCAAACAGAACTCCCAGGAGCTGCTGAGGGGGGTCAGGTGGTGAGGTTGCCTCTGCCACAGCGAAGCAGCAACCAGGGCTACGGGCAGAGTTCACTCAGTCGGCAGCCATGTACCACCAGCGCGGAGAAGCGCTACCTGTGTCAGCAATGTGGGAAGTCCTTCAGCCGCAGCTCCAACCTCATCAAACACCGGGTCATCCATAGCAGCGAGAAACCCTATGCCTGCCCAGACTGCGGGAAGCTGTTCCGGCGCAGCTTTGCGCTGTCAGAGCACGCACGCATCCACAGTGGCGAGAAGCCATTTGCCTGCCCTGAGTGTGGCAAGGCCTTCACACGCAGCTCCAACCTCATCAAGCACCAGGTTATTCACAGCGGCGAGAAGCCGTTTGCCTGCAGCGACTGCGGGAAGCTGTTCCGGCGCAGCTTCGCACTACTTGAGCACGAGCGCATCCACAGTGGTGAGCGGCCCTATGCGTGCCCAGAGTGTGGCAAGGCCTTCAGCCGCAGCTCCAACCTCATCGAGCACCAGCGCACTCACAGCGGTGACAAGCCCTACACATGCGGGCAGTGCGGCAAGGCCTTCAAAGGTGTGTCACAGCTCATCCACCACCAGCGCAGCCACAGTGGTGACAAGCCCTTTGCATGCCGCGAGTGCGGCAAGGCCTTCCGTGGCCGCTCGGGCCTTAGCCAGCATCGGCACACGCATAGCGGTGAGCGGCCTTATGAGTGCAGCGACTGCGGCAAGGCCTTTGGCCGCCGGGCCAACCTCTTTAAGCACCAGGCGGTGCATGGCGTGGGCACCCGGACTGCCGGCTGGTCCCGGGGCTCCAGCAGGAGCGCTGCAGCCTCAGGAGGCCCTCCACAGGGAAGCGACACCTCCCAGCCTGGGCCAAGTGGCAGCTGACTCCCTGGCCTGCTACACAGGCCCTGGCAGGTGCAGCTGCAACACCAGAAGAGCCAGGATGGAGCCTGTGCCTGGGGACCTGCCCCTGCAACCCTGTGTGCCTGTGGCGAGTGCACAGGCACGTGAGCACAACACACTCCTCCCTGTGCAGCAGGCATGACCTGAGTTTACAGTGAAGAGGGGCCTTGCCTCCACAGACTTGTTGGTGTTCCCAGGTAAGGAACGCTAAAAGCACTTTAGTCCTTCAGCAATTACTCTGCCGTCCTGATGCTGGGTGGGGAAGGACTGGGCCAGCAGCTGCCTCTACAAGAGCCCTGCCTACCCACCCCATCACCTCCTCAGGGGGGTTCTGGGGAATGGCTGACCCAGGCCCTGCAGGCAGGACAGGACCCGGGAGACTTTCACCATGTCGCTCATGTTCACTGCCATCCACTCTGCTGGCTTCATTCTCCCTGCCCACCCACTGCCTTTTGCCCTCAAACCCCACCAGCAAAGGCCACCCTGGCCTAAATCTTCAAATCTGCCTGCTCTTCTGCTCAGGCAGCCTCCCTGTGGGGCTGGTGACTATTAGGAGGATGGGTTCAGAATTTGCAAGACAGAAAGCAATACAGGTTCAGAATTTGCACTCGGGCGGCCCTGTGTGGTGACAGAGCGTGCCAGCTGGCATCGCCCATTGACTTTTACAGGATATTTCTTAGAATATGGAAGGTTCAGCTGCTTTGAATGTTTTCCTGTTCAGGGCTAAAGTAAGTTGAAATAGAGATTTTTGCCATATGAGAGATTATTGCCATGAGAATCACCCCCTAAGTAGGAATCCCCTCAACCCTCTGAGAAGACCTCAGTAAGGAGAAAAGGGGCCATGCCAGGCCTGACACCTGATGAGTGTGGTGGCACTCTTCACTCTCCTGGCCCATTTTCTCTGTGATGATGCAATCCATCCCTCTGCCCATCAGCCCTGTGGAAACAGGGCAGACCCTTAGAATGCCACTTTATTGAAAGCCAAGGAGAGTTCTCAAGGACATTGTGGTGAGCCAGAAGCAGCTGCTGGCAAGCCTTGTCCAGTTCCACCCATCTTGTCCTCAGAGCTAGGCCCAGGCCTTCTGCCCCTTGGTGCTCTTAACCCAGCATCCTGGTTGGCAGCAGCCACCTCCTTCCAGCCCTCTCCACTCCCAAGGGAGAACGTGGCTTTGTCATACACAATGCCCAAGGGCAGGTAGGTGGTAGGCAGATGGAGGCCATCCTGAGGTCTCTAAGAGCTGTGCCTTCTCTACTAGAGGTGGGAGGGTCACAGAAAACTGCCTTCTATTGGGAGAGTGTGGAAAAAACCTGGGAATACAGCATTCCCTCTAAGGATGCTGCTTGGAGCGCCAACCACTAGGGTAACTCCAGCAGTTTTGGGTATACACACACATACACACACGTGTACATATATGTTTGTAAGTTTTATGTGTGTGTGTATGTCATGGAAAGTTGCAGGGTTTTTGTAACTTGCTCATCTTGTAGCCTCTTTCAGCAGTGCCTAGACTCCTGTCCTATGATTGCCTTCTTGTCTATAAGCCTGTGACTGCATGTCATGTTTTGTCCTCATGTCCTCTCTGCTAAGCCCAGTTCCAGTGCTTAGTAAGTATGTGTGAAATGAATATTGTACTTCTGGCACCCTGAACTCAGACTCGGTACCGTAGTTTCTCTAGCTTTACCTGGGACCAATCCAAAGTATATGCAACTTTGAGTTTTCCAGTAGAAAAAGAAGTATTGGGAACAGTGTGTTTGATGTCCCTTGTGAGGTCATTGGGAAGTTTGGGTTTTTCTGAAGCACAGATAATCCCTGGCATGGCTTCAGGAAGCAGTCTCCCTGGAGGGCAGGAGGCTATGTGCTTGGGCTTCAGTCCCACTTTCTTCAACTGACCCAGGAAAGGAACAGATTGGCACAGACTGGTGCCCATCTCCATTGCTCTGCTAAGTGAGTGCTCTAGTGCTGCCTGCCAGGTAGTCACCAGCGCCCACTGAAGAGAATTGTGTCTCACAGTGAGCACATCCTTCCATAGGTTCTAATGTGTAAGCCAACTCTTGTTTTGAGCTAAGCTCCCTTTTTCCACCTTGGGACTTGTGGTAAAGGACAACTAGATGCAGGAAAGAAGATATACAGACATTTTCAGCAGAAAGTGCATTTGCCAGGAGAGCTGCTGGACACTTGCACTCTGATTTTAGAAAAGTTCCAGGGTCCCCAGTGCTTGCCTAGGTAAATTACATATGTTGGCATACCTTGCTGTTCATTGGTTCTGGGTCTGATTTAGCTCCTCTTACTTAGATTCACACTACAAGGTCATTATTAGTGTCATTTTCTTTTACACATAGTATTCAGGTACATAGTATGAGCCAAATGGGTTTTGCATGGAGTAAGAGAGTATCCAGAAAGGACACTGTTTTTCCTTCTACTGTGCCTTGAAATTGGGCTCACTCTCCCCTTCCTGTATGAGGAACTGGGATAAGGCCCACACTTGCTTTTTGATGGACAGCTAGAATGTAAGAGCTTAAATTATCAGGAAAGTCCTTTCTGCTTTCCCCTTGCCATAGGAACTCCCCTGAGAGTTCCCATTTGCCCTTGGAAACTTTGGACCTTTCAAGATCCATGTAAATGGATCTGGCAGTATCTCCACAGTATCTGGTGTGTCATCCTGACTGAATTCATTGTCAAGTGGAATTGTTCCCATTTACTTGGCTGGCAAACAAACAAGGAAAATCTGCAAGTATCTGGCCCTTAAAACGAATGCTCTATTGCAGAGGGGCTATTATAAAGATTTAAACTTCCCAGATAGGCAGTTGGGGTCAGGGTTGCAGGAAAGGCTATTAGCACAGAATTATGCAAAAGAGCCCAGAGCTTGTACTTCAGTATTCCTGCAAAGGTGAGACAGAAAGGCCCCAGACTAAGGTGAGCTGCCTTAGTCTGCCCAAGGGTACAGACTCCTCTGACTGGGATCATGGGTAGCCACCTGAGGCCAAGTGGACACCATGACCTGAGACCAGGAAGGAAGGCTGGGCCTGATCCCCACATTCCTTAGCAAAGCACTGTACCAGTTTCCTGAGAAACGTAGCCATGACTTCCTTCCAGTTGTTTGTGTTGCCACCCCTCAGGTGACAGCAGCAGTCACTATGGGTGCAAAGGGCAGCTCTGGAGACAGGAAAGAGACGTAGAGGGAGCTAGGGGTGTGGAGTGCTACGAAGTGCTTGGGTTGAGATGGATGGAAGAGGGGCATGTTCTAAGGGACCCTAGGAGGGTTTCTGTAGGATAGTGACAGGTTAAATGGTCAATTGGAACCAGTGTGTGGAGAGCCTGGGATGCCACATACAAAAGTTTGGACTCTACCTGATTCCTAATGAAGAGCAATTTTCCTAAACATGAAAGAATTATTGTACAACCACCACAGATTTTATATATTTTAGCCATCTAGATGGTTCTGACACCCCTGAGGTGTCAACCTGTGGGTATAGCTGGCTGAGTCCCCCATGCATCTGACAAGAGATTGCTTTGACATAAGGGGCCCTGTCTGCCTTTCTCGGGAGTTCCCACTTGGCCATTGTTTTGCCTTAAGCTAGACCCAGTGTGTCTGTGACTTCACAGAGCAGGAGCCATACAGGATTCCTGGACAGCTTCAAGTTCAAGACCTTGCACACTGAAGAGGGACACAGCAACTCCTTTTTTTTTTTTTTTTTGAGACAGAGCCTCAAGCTGTCCCCCTGGGTAGAGGGCTGTGGCATCATAGCTCATGGCAACCTCCAACTCCTGGGCTCAAGTGAGTCTCCTGCCTCAGCCTGTCAAGTAGCTGGGACCACAGGTGCCCACCACAACACTTGGCTATTTTTTGGTTGCAGCCATCATTGTTGTTTGGCAGCCCGGGCTGGATTCGAACCCACCACCTTAGGTGTATGTGGCTGGTACCTTAGCCGCTTGAGCCACAGGCACCAAACCAGCAACTCCTTTTTGTGTTCAAGAGGGGCAAACTTGGTCTTTTTCCACCACCTGGGAACATTCACATAGAAAATAAAGGCCTGTGGATCTGGAGGTTCCTGATGGTTAGCCTTTCTTTGACAGCTTTACAGAGGTATAATGGGCATATGGTAACTGCACATCTTTCAATTGTGTGACTAGATGAGTTTTGACCTGTGTGTACATGTGTGATGCCATCCCCCAACCCAAGGCAGTAGCCTTATGGTTCCTCTAGTCCCTCTCCCCACAATTGCTGTTCTGCCTTCTGTCAGTAGAGATTAAGTGTCATTTTCTGAGTTCTATATAAATGGACTCGCGCAGTATCTGTCTGGCCTCTTTTTTATCAGGTGGTTGTGTTTATGTCAATACTTCATTTTTATTACTGGCGGTATCCCATTGTACGAATGGACCACAATACCTAACTACTTGTTGATGGACATTTGGGTTATTTCCAGTTTGGGGCCATAACAATTAAAGCTGCTATGAATATTGTGTATAAGTTTCTGTGTGGACATGTTTTCATTTCTCTTGAGTGTATAAACAGGAATTGCTGGTTCATGTGCTAACACTGTTTAACTTTTTGAGGATCTGCCAAATGTTTTCCAAAACAGGCTCACCATTTTATGTTCCACTAACAGTTCCAGTTTCTCCACATCCTCACCAACACTTGTTATTGTCTGTCTTTTTAATAGCAGCCATCCGGGTGGGTGTGAAGTGGTATCCCATAGTTTTGATGTCCATTTCCCTGGTTGCTAATGATGTTGGGCCCCATTTCATGTGCCCATATATCTTCTTTGATGAAGTGCCTGTTCAAATCTCTTACCCATTTTTAAATTGAGTTGTCTTCTTTTTAAGTTGTAAGAATTCTAGACACAAGTCAGATAGATATGTGTTCTGCAGTACTTTTTTCCAGACTATGGCTTGCCTTTTGAAGAGAAGTTGCTTTAGCTTGATGAGGTCTAATTTATGAATTAGACTTATTTGATTTATTTTATAGTTTGTATTTTTTTGTTCT